GGGTTGGGAACCTTAGTCTTGTATCACATAAAAGAGGGAAGTGATCGTGGTTTATCAGGGTTCGTAGACATCAGCTAACTCAGTCCATCAATTTGACCTTACAATTTTGTTTTACTGTTCTGTTACTTTTCTCATTATAAATAAATTGTGTGATAATTAGTAATGCCGATGGACTGAAAGAACTTAGCATTATTAAGAATATTTTAAAGTTGTGCTAGTGGCATTTAAAAAGGTGCATCATGGCATTTAAAAATCATCAGTCTTGTTGACCACTCAGAAGACACATAAGCTTTCTTCAGGATTCAAATTAAAGCCGAGTAATAACTGTAAATAATTATGTCCCAAAATAAATCTTTTTATAAATTACTTAACACTGACTCAATCTTTTATTCATTAAGATAACTGGCATTTTTTTCAAGGATAATAACTATAATTTTTTATGTTTATTATTATAACAGCATACAAACTGATGCAGAAAAATTTGAATGTTATGTAATAGATACCATTGGACCATAGAATTTGAGAAGTTATGATTTGGAGATAATCATCCAAAAGTGGAGTTTTTGCTTTCTATTTATAAGAAAAAAAGAAAATAGATTTAGAGTAGATTATGCTATAAGTCCCCACCCACCCACCTACACACACATTTTTTTTCTTTTTTCTTTTAGGAACTTGTTGTTAATGGCCATGGAATAGGGTCTGACTCATAATGACCCCTTGTAGGGTTTCCGAGGCTTTAAATCTTCGTGGGAGCAGAAAATCTCATTTTTCTCCCATGGAGCAGCTGGTGGGCTTGAACCGCAGACCTTTTAGTTCATAGTTCAGTGCTTATCATATGGAGCCCCTGAGTTCCCCCTTTAGGAACTTTCGTTGTTAAGTGCTGTCAAATCGATTCCAACCCATAGCGACCCTGTATAGGGTTTCCGAGGAGCAGCTGGTGAGCTTGAATCATCGACCTTGCAGTTCTAATGGCTTTGCAGTCTGGCGCATTAACCCACTGACCACTTTCACTTTAGGCAACTTTTAGAAATTCTGTCCTATGTCAATACAGCAGATGTTACAGTAATTACTGTACTGATGAAGTAGCTGGATTTTGAAATCATCAATACAGTATTTATTGTATTTATCAATACAGTAATTACTGTAACATTTGTTGTGTTGCGATAGGATGGAATTTCTAAAAGTTGACATAAGTGAACAAATACGAGTTTTTCTGTAACAACTGCATCAGATCACCTTCCTTCATTCATAATAAATTTATAGGTAGTCCCCAATTTACCAAATTTTTGAGTTACAGTAAGCCTTACTTACGACTCTGCTTTTCAAAATCTTATCATTAGTAATATGTGCTACTTATAATGTTGCAGTGAATTAGTACCTGGTGTTACCATTCCAGTAATTCACATACAGATGTTCTGTGCTATGATTTACTGTTCAAAACTCTGTCATCTAGGAAGCAGTGTTGAAAACTTTAAGAACAGAAAAACAAAAAAGGCATTCAACTTAAGTCACAAGTCAGGTACGACCTGTACTAACTATTTAGGATTTGAGGCATCCTGATAACACAGTGGATTTAGCACTGGGCTGCTAACTCAAAGAACAGTCATTCAAACCCATCAGCTACTCCACAGGAGAAAGATGAGGCAGCCTGCTTCCATAAAGATTTACAGCCTCAGAAATTCTGTGGAGCAGTTTTACTCTGCTCTATTTTAAACCACAAGCTTGGGGGTTGAAGCTCACCATCTGCTCCTTGCAATCCCTGTACAAGGTCCCTATGGTCAGAACTGAGTCAACAGCACTTAACAATAGCAGTCAGATCACCATGAGTTGGAATTAACTCAATGATAGTAGGTTTGTTTTTTGGTTTGGTGGCATGGTGGCTAAGCACTCAGCTGCTGATGGAAAGGTCGATGGTTCAAACCCACTAGCCACTCCTCAAGGAGAAAGATAAAGCAGTCTGTTCTGTAAAGATTTACAACCTTGGAAACCCTGTGGAACACTTCTATTTTGTCTTATTAGGTTGCTATGATGTGGAATTCAACTTGATTGCAGTGAGTTTGATTTGGGTTTTATTGAGAATTTGACCAAAACCAAACCCAAATAAAACCCAAGAGACGATTATACACATGGACCTCAACAGATGGAATACACAGAAATTAAATTGAGTACATCTGCGGAAAGAGACTATGGAAAAGCTCTGTATCATCATCAGTCAAAACAAGGGCAGGGAAGATTGTGGAACAGACCATCAATTGTTCATATGCAAATTCAAACTGAAGCTGAAGAATATGAAAACAAGTCCACGAAAGCCAAAATATGAAATTGAATATATCCCACCTGAATTTAGAGATCATCTGAAGAACATTAAAGACCGAAGACCAGGGAGTTGTAGGATGACATCAAGAACACCATACATGAAGAAAGCAAACAGTCATTAAGACAAGAAAGAAGGAAAATATCAAAATGGATGTAGAACAGACACTGAGATTTGCTCTCCAGCCTATAGATGCTAAAGCAAATGGAAGAAATGAGGAGGTACAAGAGCTGAACAGAAAATTTCAAAGGTCAGCTCAAGAAGACAAAGTCAAATATTACAACAAAGTGTGCAAAGATCTGGAGTCAGAAAACCAAAAGGAAAAAACACGCTCAGCGTTTCTCAAGCTGGGGGAACTGAAGAAAAAATTCAAGCCTCGACTTTTGTTATTAAAGGTTCTCTGGGCAATTTATTGAATGATGCAGAAAGCATCAAGAGAAGATGGAAGGAATACACAGAAAAGGAAATAGTTGATGTTCAACCGTTTCAAAGGGTAGCATATGATCAAAAACCAATAATACTGAAGGAAGAAGTCCAAGGTGCATTGAATGAATTGGCAAAGAACAAGGCACCAGGAATTGATGGAATAGAAATTGAAATCTTTCAAGAAAGTGAGGCGGCACAGAAGGCACTCACTCATCTCTGCCAAGAAATTTGGAAGACAACTCTCTGGCTGACTGATGGGAAGAGATCCATATTTGTGCCCATTCCAAAGAGAGGTGACCCAGTGGATTGTGGAAATCATCAGGCAATATCTTTGATATTCCATGCGAGTAAAGTTATACTAAAGGTAATTTAGAAATGGCTGCAACTATACATTGACAGAGAACTTCTAGAGCTTCTGGATTCAGAAGAGGATGTGAAACAAAGGATCTCATTGTTGATATCCGATGGATCTTGGCTGAAAGCAGAGAATATCAGAAAGATGTTTACCTGTGCTTTATTGACTACACAAAGACTTTTGATTGTGTGGATCATGACAAGCTATGGACAACATTGTGAAGTGTGAATATTCCTGCATACTTAAGTGTGCTCATGAGAAATCTGTACCGGGTCCTAGAGGCAGTTGTTTGAACAGAACATGGGAACACTGAATGGTTTAAAATTAAGAAAGGTGTGCGACAAGGTTGTATTCTTTCACCATACTTATTCAAACTGTATGCTGAACAAATAAACCAAGAAGCTGGGTTATATGAAGAAAATGTGGCATCAGCATTGGAGGGAGACTCATTAACAACCTGTAATATGCAGATGATACAACCTTGCTTTCTGAAAGTGAAGAGGACTTAAAACATTTACTGATGAAGATCAAAGAGCACAACCTTCAGTATGGATTGCATCTCAATGAAAAGAAAACAAAAATCCTCACCACTGGACCAAGAAACAACATTCCTATCAATGTAGAAAAAATTGAAGTTGTCAAGGACTTCACTCTTCTTGGATTAACTATCAGCACACATGGAAGCAGCGGTCAAGAAATCAAACGATGTATTGCATTAGGCAAATCTTTTGCACAAGACCTTTTTAAAGTGTTCAAGAGCAAAAGTGTCAGCTTGAGGACTAAGGTGCACCTGACCCAATGTTTTCAATAACCTGATATGTATGTGAAAGCTGGACAGTGAATAAGGAAGACCGTAGAAGAATTGATGCTTTTGAGTTATGGTGTTGGAAGAGAATATTGAAAGTGCCATGGGCTGCCAAAATAACATACAGATCTGTTTGAAAGAAGCGCAGCCAGAGTGCGCCTTGCAGGCTAGGATGGCCAAACTTCATCTTTCATACTTCAGACATATTGTCAGGAGGGACCATTCGCTGGAAAAGGAGATCATGTTTGGTAAGGTGGAGGGTCAGAGAAAAAGAGAAAGACCCCCAGTGAGATGGATTGGCCAAGTGACAGCATCAATGGACTCAAATATGGCAACAATTGTGAGATTGGCCCAGGACCAGGCAGTGTTTCGTTCTGTTGTGCTAGGGTTGCTATGAGTCGGTACCGACTCGAAGACACCTAAAAAAAAACCCCCAAAAAACCAAATTCACTGATGTGGAGTCAATTCCAACTCACAGAAACCCCACAGGAGAGAGTAGAATTGCTCCTTAGGGTTTCCGAGGGTATAAATCTTTATATAAGCTGAAAGCCTCTCTGTTTCCTGCAAAGACGCTGGTGAGTTTGAACTGTGACCGTATTGTTAGCAGTCCAGTGCCTTTCCTGCAGTATAGAAAATGTACATAATAATTGTTTTCTTAGGGCTTAACATTTTTTGGCTGGGGAAACGCAGATTAGCAGATATGATTTCAGATGGTAAGAAGTAGAAGAGGAAATGTAGAACATGAGAGGGAACTGCTTCTAGTTAGCGAGGTCAGAAGGCCTCATTGGGGATGTGACAGAGATGCATAGCTGATGTGAAAGTGATGAGAAAAGTCAGGTGTGTGATGATCTGGGTAAAGAGCAATCTGTACAAAGCACCAGTACAAAGGCTTGAACAACACTTCCCATTAGGAAACAGAAGACGAGGGAGATTGGAATGTGGTAGACAGGGGTGAGTGTGGGAGGAGATGGGGAAGGCCATTAAGTGGAGATTTTATCGTATAGTCAGTGAGCATGACCACATTTGTAGTCACTAGCTTCATATGTGAATTGTGGAAAGGCTTCTTTTAAATGGCAATAATTTTCTTTTGTATTTTCTAGAATAGACCAGAGGGCTGCCATCTGGCCAAAGGACGCCTTGGAAACTCGGCAAGACTTTAATGAGGTAAGAGCATTTACTGCTACTTGTATGAATGTGCGTTAGCTAATCACAGATTTTTTTGTTTGTTTTGTTTTGTTTTGCAGTACTAGGAATTCTTTCAGACTAAAACTTTTTAAAGTCTTTTTTGCCCTTAAGTGAAACGCCAGACTTGAACTTCATTGTTCAGTTAGTAATGCTTTTCCTTATTCTAGATAAAACACATTTGAAACATTATTTGAGAAGAAGGAAGGGAAGAAAAGATAGAAATTTCTTTCTTTCTCTTTCATTTTTTGTCTTTATTTTTTCTTTCATATGCTGGAAGAAAAATGATGTCTGTTTATTTTCTTATTTAAAAAAAATTAGTAAAATATTATTTGCAGGACTGCCCCCATGTCTTGACTATAAACCAAGTCCAGGAATTCTTCTGTTGCACTTATATAATGATGTTGTGACAGTGAACATTTGCAGAATTTCCTCTTTAGTTTATTTGCATCTATCCCTCTGTCTCTGTCTTATTTCCCTAATAGTATTTGCAGCTTCAAAAATAATCAGGCTTAGTGGACTTTGAAACATAAAGCCATAATTCTCAGTCCAAGTGGTTTCCCATCAACCTGGATATCACACTGTTAATTAGCTTGCCCTAGATTTTCTTTGAATAAATTAATTATACTATTGGAAATCAATATAATATTGTTAGAATCACACTGTTATAAATATCTTGGCTTAAGACAGTGGTTTAAAACACCCAGTCTAGCTTCTTTTCCCCCTCATGATGTAATTAAGGATCAGTGGGTGGCATGTCTGATTCGGATCATAGCAAAAGAGAATGATGAAATTTGATGTCCAGACGACTGGAAGAGGAATGATGAGCTTTAGGCAAATTGCTTATTTGGAATTGGTAGCGTAGTGGTTACGAATCGGACTGCGAACCTTAAGGTCAGCGGTTCGAAACTACCAGCTGCTCCGCGGGAGAAAGATAAGGCTTTCTACTCCCGTAAAGATTTACACCCTCGGAAACCCTGTACAGGGTCGCTATGGGTCGGACCCGACTCGATGGCACTTAACAACAACAACAACAACATCCCTCTGTCATCCTCCCCAAAATTATTTAATGGAATTTAGGCAACTTTATTTTTATTCTTTACTCTAGAGCTTGACAGAAACCAACAGCCAAAGGGAAGCCAACTGCCTGGTGAAACCAGGTTGTTAAGTAACTAACGTAGTAAAAAATGTCCTAAAGATAACATTACAGAATGCTGCTTGTTATTCCTTTGTGCAGACAGCCTGTACATTTCACAGTCTCACTCATGCTAACAAGAAAAGAGACGAGAGCCTAAATCAATGAACACAGCTGTCTACCCTACTGTGAAGAGCAAAATGCTAAATGTGAAGAAGCAATGGTTTATTTTGACATAAGTGACTAGAAAAACGAAGTGATTACAAGAGTCAACTTGTGATATGCTTCAAGTATTTGGGAGAAACTCTGATTTGTGAGCTAGAAACAGATGAAAACGCTAAAGTGCCAGAGCATTCTTAAATCACTATTGCAAAAAGTTTCATTCCTATATCCTTTCACTGTCGTGTTTGTAAATTACACAGAATGCACTCACTCACTGCTGAATGGAGCTGTGCATCCAAAAGGGCAGTGCTATGTGTTAAAGGTGCCCTTTCCTATGAAAAGGTGGCACTGCTGATCCCGCCTGCTTATATTCACTGTATGTGCTCAAGGTGGCTTTGTGCCAGTTCTGAGAGTAAACTGTGTGCCGATTCACATTCTTTCATGCTGTTTCTGTTGTAATGAAAACTTGGAAACTGGAAGAGACCTCAGAGACACGAGAAGAGGGCAGCGTAGTTGGGAAAAGTCCATGTGAAGGGCCCGTGTTCAAACTCAGCAGTGGAAACATCCTATAGAGTGGGTATATATTTAACTGAGTTTTCCCAAGCATTTCTTGAACTTATAGGCCATGAAACTCTTTTGTGGAATGAACCTCAAGTGACATTTCTTTAGGCATCAGGACACTGTGGAACATTGAGGGAAAACACTGATGTCATATTTTTAATTTAAATAGAAAAAGCATACAGAAAGGTACAAAAATTGTTTAAGTGTACACCAAATTAATTCTTACAAAGTGTTTAACCAGTACCAAGAATCAAAAACTTAGAAATCCCTTTGTAATTTCTTCCAGTCAATACTCCTCTAAGAATATAACTACTTCTCACATGTTGATGATCTCATTATTTGATATTTTGCACTTAAAACTATGAAAAAATCCTCAGGCAGGGCCTTCAGTGGTCTGGGAACTATGTGGGGCCACTGCCAGCCATGGCATTGTCTGCTTCCCCCCCCCCCGCCCCTCAATGATGTATTACAATGTCTCAGTCCAGCCACAGAGAGCACAGGCAATGGGGGAACAGTGTGAGGTCATGGATGGGCAGGGGAGGTACTAGGGAGGTCAGTGGGGGGAGGTAGGAAGGTTGGGAGAAGGAAGGACAACTGCATGGAATTGTGGAGCTGGGGTGATTAGAGGTCAAGTGGGATCCCAGTGCAGGGTGGGAGACAAACGGCACCCAACCATCACTACCACTGCCCCCAACCCTTGCTGCCACTCAGTGGTTGGGAAGGCATAGTGGGGAAGGGGGGCTGCCACACCATACATATACCAGGGATGCCTGTTGGACAGTGATCCTCTGGGTAGGAGGGGAAACAAGGGTGTGGGGGAGAGGACACTGGCCTTATCAATAAATGAGGACCATGTAATTATTCTTCAGACTGACAGATTTGTTTTGCCACTTATGAGCATTTTAGAAATTGGCTCTATGTACCCTTTTGTATATGGCTTCATTTGCTCAACCTTGTGCAATTCTTCCACATTTTGGCATGCAGTTGTAATTTTCATTCTCTTTTCTGTAACACTATCCCATTGTTTCTTTTCTTTCTTTTTTTTAATCACAATGAGCTCTTTTCTGGTATTTATACAAACAGCTGACTTAGAACAGGAGTATTCCTTACATGTCAATCATGAGGGTGGTGGTTTGAGCCGACCAGCTGATCCGAGGGAGAAAGATGAGGCTTTTTGCTCATGCAAAGATTTCAACATCCAGAACCATACACAGGCTCACTGTCAGTCAGAACCAACGTCACAGCACTTAACAGCAACAGCCTCATATAGTACATTAAAATCAACGTCTTTTAGTGTATTACTTGTAAAACTGGAGAAGGATATTTTCCATTGGGTTAAGGGAGCTCTTTTAACATTCACTCATTCTCTGCATTTATATTTTCCCAGTACTTATAGAATAATTTAAGGAGCTTTGGGCTACTAACCTCAAGATCAGTAGTTCGGAGCTACCAGCCATTCCGCAGGAGAAAGATAAGGCTTTCTGCTCCAGTAAAGATTTACAGCCTCGGAAATCCTATACAGGGTTGCTATGAGTCGGAACTGACTCCACAGCACACTACCACCACCACCACCATAGAATAATTTAGTCATACATTCCCATCAAGGATGGGATCAGACAAATTTCCCTGCATTACTTGCGGCTAAGATATCTCCAAGGCTAACCATCAGCATGCCTGGCTGGGGAAGTAAATAATGAATTGTGCTATAAAAAGACACATAAGCCCTTATTGTCATTATTAATCAACTTTACACAAGGGAGAGAGGCCACATTATCGATAGTGAAGAACTGAGGTCAATCCAAGATATGAAATAGTACAGCCTTCGTCAAGAGTGGTCTGAAACCATGCGTCATTCTGAGTGTTCTTCCTCGTTCTGCCATTTTTCATTTGCCTAATCCAGTTCTTACATCATGATTCTACGGAAGAAATGATTATCTCAAAAAATATTCATTGTCTCTGTACTAAGGAAAATGCTTCATTTTCAGAGAGACACTTGGATGGATAAAGCAAACGTCAGCTGAGTGAACAAATATTCATTTCTGTTTCCCTTTTTACCTGGACTTTGAAGGTCCTAGTGGTAAGCCAAGACATATGCCAAGTGGCTTTGAGGCTTGTTGGCTCTGAAACTGTCATGTGCTGTCTTGTACTAACTCTACAGTTTATTCTTTCCAGGCCTAAGGAGCCAGTATGTACGTTTTTTAAAAAAAAATAAAAACAAATCTTGCCATGGATTAATGGTTTTACCTAAGAGAGATATATCAAGCATAAAGAAGCAGATGGTCAGTCTTGGAAAGGGTGTCCTTGTCTTTTGCCCACTAATCAGTCCTGCAGTTCTGATGGTGAGGGTTTCAAGTGGCCAAGACTCAAGGGCACTTAACAACAACAAAATTTATGAGGTCACTAAGGGAAATGCTTCCAAGCAAGTATGCTGGCTTTTTTATGTCTCCAGAACCAAATTGAAGTCAGCTATCTGTGTCCTTTGCATATGTTTTCTGCTGGATAAAAGTTTCAAATGGGATGATTGATTGATAAGAACATTTGTTGTTGCTGTTGTTGTTATGTGCCAGCAAGTCAGTTCTGATTCATAGCAATCCTGAATACGGTTTCTAAGGAGTGGCTGGTGGGTTTGAACTGCTGACCTTTCAGTTAGCAGTCCAGTTCTTATCCAACATGTTATTGGTAATTCTACATATTAAGAGCTGTTGAATTGATTTCAGCTCATAGCAACTCTCTAACTTAGAAGCAGGCATTGAGTTAAAACACATCTCTAAAATGCCCTGTTGGCTCATACAACATCTAAAATGTTTTGACCCTATTCTATAAATTCTAAGAGGACCCAAAGTAGAATCAGCTTCTGGCAGAAACAGTAGGTTTTATTGGTTACCAGGTAAAATGTCATAGTCAGTGTAACTGTGCCAGCTTTCTTGAAGACCAAACAAGTGGTTAGAATTTTCTCCACCTTAAAAAATCATGTCCTTTTCCTACACTCCACTTCTTGGAGGCAGTAGGCTGGACTGGAAAAGGTGGATTACCATAAGTCTTTTGATTCTCACTGCTCAGTCAGCCAATTATTTTGCCTTTATGGAAGACAATGCCACTGTCTTCTCTGATCCCATGGCCTCGA